CTTTGCACTCCCTGTTCAAGTGACAACCCCTCAGCCCTTAAACTGTCTGAGTGGCAGCAACTCTACCATAGGCACTTTTCTTGTTTCCATAAATATTCGCAACCTAAATAGTATACGAATAAAAAACGCTGACTGAAACTTGTTTGAAATTGAAACTTTTGATATTGATGCGATTTGAGAATTTTCTAATGATCGAGTATTACACTGAAAGAATGACTAAAGATTGAAACCAAGAAAGATACACAGTAAGAAATTACCACAATTTATTTTATTTTAGCTTACTTTCCTCGAAGATATTAGCTCTACAGCTACACTGTGAATTTCGAGCATAAATAAAGTATATGTATGTATGTATGTATGTATGAACCAAGAAACAAGTTGAACAAGAAGCAAACCAAGTACCAAGCAAAATTAAAACAACTTATGGTGGAAAAAACGAAAAACTATACAACAAAGACTGCATTACGCACAACTTATGGCGGAAAATCGAATAACCTTACAATGACAAAAAAACATTGCTTACTACTTATGGCGGAAAAAAACTACTCAATGCAAAAGCAAACTGAATTATGACTTATTGTTGACTCAAGTGCCAAAGATAGAATGTTACAACGTATATTTAGGTATACGCAAAAAACACAACTGGATCGTCTTATGTATGCTTTAATCATACTACAGAACTTGAACACTGTTGAATAGACTGGAGTTGACTTTGTCCACCAACGGCAGTAATGTTCTTCTCGATAAGCTCATCAGACGTTGTTTTTATGATCGGCGGTGCAAGTAGGCGGGTAGGGATAGGTATAGTCCCCTGAGACGAACATATCATGGGTTGAGAGAGGGGGGGGCATATAATGGGGTGGGGGAGAAGGGCTGGGTGGCAAAGTCCCCATATTTTGGTGCCAACATTATCGCAATAGCAGCGTAACATTGGGTTATGGAAATATTCAACCTCTTGATCTTCATACAAATCGTTCAACTGCACTTTGGCACTTGGTGAAAAATAGTATGTTTCAGAGTCATCATTTAAGAAACAGCTTTCTCGTGCAGGCAACATATCGATTACAAACACATAAGGCACCTAAAGGCTTTCCAAGTAGTTTGCGTGTGCCAAACAACTATGCAGATGACATTTTGAGAAAATTCAGAAAAGCTCTAAAAAGCTTGAGTGTATTGAGATTTCACCACGCAGAACAGAGACTGAAAAGATCTTCTGTTTCCAGAAAAAGCTTTTCTTGACGCCATAATTTAGTACGAATAAAAAAAAAAAAGAACCTGGGAAGGGCGCATGATAATTTAGTGCTCTGAATATCCGGGAACTTAAAAATTACGTCATTTTCGTCTCACTACAACAGAAAGATGAGAATCGTTTTATACTCTGATTAGCTATATTAGGTGGCTGATGGAATGCGCAGAAGTGTCTTCAACAGGAAATTTGTCCATTCGAGACAATCACTGTGCAGCTACGTAAATGCAAACGTAGAGAATTTACTATCATAGGTAGTTAGAAGAAAAATATAGTAAATTCTGAAGTTTACTATTAAAACTGAGGTAAATTTGAAACTTCAGCCGGAGAGAGTCGTGTTATGTAGCTTGTGGCATTAAATGCAGTTTCACGCAGAAGAAAGTAAAATCGAAACTCGTTCTCGCTAAGATAGATCTACACACATTCATCCTCTGAAAAATTTGGGAAGATAGAGGATCTCAAAAAAATGAATGTTTTCAATTTGCCAAAAAAACAGTTTGATTTCGATAAGTACCTTCCAAAACTAGGCATAAAAAACCACTAACGGTAATGAGTCACCAGCATGAAGGAAACAAATTAATGATGCCGGGTGAAAACCTTGAAAACGGTTGTAGCTTGATCACTTAAATGTTCTGAAGTTCTGTTGTTAACATTCACAAGTTTGGAAACCAATACTTTCTCCGATTTATACACCAGTATATAAACTAGTATTCCACAACAGAGAGCTAACGAAATGACAGCCAACATGCAATTTAAATATTTTAATTTATTTTCATCTCTCTTCAAAATTCAATTTCAAATCATTACTCTTCAACTATTTTGCTATGACTTGTTTATGCATTTTGGTTCATGTTCTATAATTAAACATGTTTCTTAAATATCTATACATGTTTGTACGTGTGTTTCACATTTTTCTATTCTTTACAGTTTTTTGAAGTTACAAGCTTAGTACATTTAAATTTTTTAAATACGTTACGTTTCTGTGTATAGGCACATACACACAAGAATGTGACAGGAACATGGCATCCTGTAAAGTAAGTATTTTGACTGCCTTTTAGTCTGGTTTCTCTCCGCTGATCTTTCCGGCTTGGTTGTACCTGCCAGAGGCTCACATGCCTCCGCCGGCTGAGTTCTCAGGATCATTGAAACGCACAAGCCCCTCCACCACGGCAAGGTGGCAGTCTATAAGAGGGGACGTCTAGTTTTTGAATATTCGAAATCACACCACTTAACGTTCTTAACTCATCCTTAACGCTTTACGTCTCAAAATAGTACTGTATTTGCAGTCACGTCCACGCACCACTTAACGCCCTTTAGTCACGCGTCCTTACGAGAGCCTCACGAGTGCTCTATGTCTCAACGTAGAACTGTAGAAGCCTTCTTATCTCCCTCAGCGATTCTGGAATGTCTGTTCCGCTGTTCAGTACTCCTCGTTGCGACCTGACAAACTTCTTAAAGGTTTTCTGATAAATGAAAAAATACATGCATTAGTTAAATCGATGCGAAATCCCAACCAAAAACGAATACAATGTACCTGTCTCTCCGTTTAACACTTATCCTTTGGTAAATATTGCACTTAATTCGAAACACAGGAAGTCTTTTCTTATTGATCAAAAATTTCAAAGGATTCCAAGACTAAACAAATGTAGGATAAATTTGCATAACTGTCTCATTTTTCAGCTTGGATATTGATATTGGCTGTTCAATCATGCATGAGTTAGAATAAACGTTTTAATCGCTTACTTTGATGGCGAAGTTAATAAACTTACATTAAATCAACGCAAAGAAACGATCGAGACTGATTGATTCAATACTTTGATCGTTTCTTGTGAGCAGCAGGTTTCCTTTACACTTGCAGTTGGAGTCAACCTACTCAGTTACAAAAATGTCTGGCACAGACATGCACAGCATTCCATATAAATTGAAAGTCCACTCTTCAGAATGCTCCCGAGGAGCAGAGCGTCACAAACCGATTAAGCCGATGATATATAGCTAACTCGTCAAGTGCTACCTCTATGTTAAGTCAAAGTGAAGCTGGTAATGATTAAATACCAAGTAACGATGCATATGAAGTTGCAACTAAAGTTTGTTTCTATTCCGTCATGTATACATTATTATGCGGCGACTTTGTTGTCAGGACACAACTTTGTTGAAAGATACAGTCACACGTATTTTCACCTTTAACTCTATCTCAGTCTTAGTTACGTTTTCCTTCATTTTGTGTTAGAACCTGTGGCTGATGGCGGCGTAATATCGAAAAGATGTAGTTATAATAGTGATGTTTGATTCACTTACCATTCCACCATTCTCTAAAATCCATTCTGCTAACAACTGGCTTGTTTTCGTTCCACTAAAGGCGCATACGTAAAACCCATCTGATGCCAACACATCGACCGGAGTTCCGAAATAAAGACCATACGCGCCATACAACTCACCAATAATCACGAGGTAAACCATAAACCCAGACCAAGATAGATCAGAGCGAATAATTTCGTCACAAATACGCAGAAAAGTGCCATCAACATCATCCATACCATCGTACATACCATCCATTCTACTCAACTGATTCAAAATTTCCTCAATCAAACGCTTATTCCTTGTTTTAATTCCTAATAAAAGATCGACAACCCTATCAGAACGACCAGCACACTCCGAGAGACTGCTATCTTTCCGGACACAATCGCTTAACTTCACGTAACCTTCAACAATGTTGCCGAGAAACATACGTAATTCCACCTGCTTAAGCTTCTGAATTATATCCTCTCGACCAATCTTCGATAAATATCGCTCTAAAAATGATACATCCTTAACTGACAACGTGCTATCCTTAACAAGAAATTCAAACAACTTAAAGATATCATCATCACTTTCAAGATTTACATCCAACTTCGACCCCGGTACATCGCCTAAGCACAAAAACCTCAATGCAGCCCTATCATTAATGCTTAAATCTCTCACACATCCAACTACAAACTCTTTCAAGACAGAGGGAATCTGATATTTCAACAACCCTTCTCCTTGTGCAAATGGTTTCAGCCTTGAAGTTGCCGTCGGCAAAGCCATGACTCAAAGTCACAATTTCTAATAAATTAGGAAAGACTGCGCATCATAACCCTCTCATTCAACATCCGGGCACTTACTCGACTTGCAACCCGGAAACCAACTTCGCCTTCGGCTCGATCGCACTAGCGTCGTTATTGCTTTCCGATGGAGATCTGGGCCGGTTTGTTCCTAACCAAGGCTTGGTGCATATTTTTCATTAGTTTTTTACTCCTGCAAAGGGATTTTTCTTTTGTATTTTTTCCGTTAATCTCGAGTCACACTAAGATAAAGCCCAACAAAATCTAACCTGTCATACGCGCTCTCCTACGTAGGAAATTAAAGCCCAAGTTAACTTTTAATGCTAGATTAACGTTAACCCCCTTTCGAAAAATTCGGCCCTGGGCTTTACGTATAATGACACACGCTTTGGAGGGTGACTGATATATAGTAAGCCGCATAAGCAATGTTTTAAGACGCCATCGAAATTCGGAGGAAACAATTTAACAAAAAATCAAAGACAAAATAAAATCATCTATATTTCCTGCACGCCTTGCGTTCCTATCTATAAAGCTCTCTATTGGGAACAGAACAAAAAATAGTTGCCGTGGTTTCTCTCAGTAGATTATCATTAATCATTTACAATGCCCTTTTATGGTGCTTGTTTGGGCACCTAAGATATAAAGGGTCAGGCAGACCATTTTTCGTTCCCTCTACCGCCATCGACGACACCCGCCATGTCGTCACTGACGAACGAGGACTTTGACAAACTTCGACGGGCTTATTCGGTTGTTTTGGACCAGATTTCTCATAAACTGGATCAACTTCAGCAGGATAAGCTTCGTTTCTACTGTTCTGGACTAATACCGACGGAAGATAGAGGCTCTTTAAACATTTTGCGTTCATTAGAACATTCGGATAAAATTTCCTGGGCCAATGTTAATTTCTTGAAAGAGGCTTTAAGAGCAATTGGAAGATGTGATCTCGCCAAACTGCTAGAGACGTTCGAAGTTAGACGCGATCTAACGCTTCTTCTGGATTTCTATGCCAGAGAGAGACTTGAAGAGGATCCCGTTTACGTTCCCCTTTCGCTGAAAACGACCGCGCGTCATTTGTTGACAATCGTCACAGAAAACGAACACGAAAGCTGCAGATTTGACGGCACAAGAATGAGAACACTGGTGGAGGCAAACAAGAACATCCTCCAAGTCTTCGAGGAAGAAGTTGATGTGCGTAGTGGAGTGAACTCACCGTGGAGTAAACTGACCATGCTTGTGATAATTGCAGGAGAAAGCATTGTGGCGGCACAAGCTTCCAGAAGCGACGACATACGCAGGAATGAAATGCTAGAGAAGTGTTTCAGTTTCGTTGAAATGCTTAGCTACAGGATGCTCGAACTTGGCAGCTGGGTAAGCTAAGAAAATCTTTCGTTCAAAAGTTTTAGCGAGAAGAATTTTCATTTTTCTGTAAATATTCAATGTTTTGTTCCCAGAATAAGCTACCTATTCCCAGAATTATTAAAGTGCGATGGCGGAAGTTGTCAGTTGTATTGATAAAGATTGTCAGTTTAATTATAGTTTGTCGCGCCGGAAGTCCACTTTAAAATGGCTAGTTTAGTTTGATTGAAACCGATCACAAATGACATTATTTTAGCAGTGAGGAGGCAGTACCAAAATTTAGCCTTTTTTGAAAGAGGCTCGCAATTCGTTCTCGTCAGTTCGATGCTTATGCGTAATGTTGTTTTTGATGGAATGTTATACTTTACAGCTCGCACGCTTTAAAAAGCTCAACCTTCGTAATATGTACTACAGGTGATAGTTAATACCAATCAAAACCAATAATTAAAAGTAAGATTGAAAACAATGATCGTCAAATTCCGATACGATCATTCGGAAGATAAACGCATCGAAAGTAAACTTTAATAATTGGTTTCCAGTCCATCCTCTAGCTGTGAACTGGTTACCAGTTTCTACTCGCGTACATACTTAATTTTTTTTTTTTTTTTTTTTCAAATATCATTATTGCTTTTTCTTTTGATCAATTTACCATGAATCTACTTCGTTTTAGCCGGTGGTTTAGAATAAATGAGGCAGCCCGAAAATTTTTAGTGTTGCTCACAAATTTACAATAATCCCTTTCAGGATGATTTCTGTGATTATGTGGAGGAAAGATGCATTGAGGTATGGGGTCAGCGGGAAGGGTGCAACCGCAGCAACGCAGACGTAGCAGACGTGGTTCGACAACTGAGAGAATCTCCTTTTTTCCTTTAGATAGATAATTAGTATAACAGCCTTAATCAGCGTAGCAAGTTTCCAGAGGATCAGGGGGGAGGTGTCACTTACCCCTCCCCTGAGCCTTGCACTTCTGTAGAATAGCAGGCGGTCTGGATCGCGCGGTTGCATGACAAAAAAAAAAAAAGGAAAAAAAAAGCTGCGAAGTAGAGACGCATTTTTATGTTTCATTTCACTTTAATTTTTCTCACAGAGTATAGAATGTGTTACGTGCTGGCAATGGAGTGGAGCTCCACTTCATTGTTTTAGCACTTCGCTTTTAGCGCGCGTGAAAGACCGCTCTTTTTTTTGGGGGGGGGGGGTTGATTTATCATTGCCTACATCTTCCTTCTGTTGAAGTCTAAGAGTTCTATCCTCACTTCACCAGACTGACGCTCAGTGACTGACACTGACTACAACCAGAATGACCAAAGATTGAAACCAAGAAAGATACACAGTAAGAAAGTACCACAAATGAACCAAGAAACCAAGAAACAAGTTTAACAAGAAGCAAACCAAGTACCAAGCAAAAATGAACACACAACTTATGGCGGAAAAAAAAACGAAAAACTATGCAACAAAGAAAACTTACTTACAATTAATGGCGGAAATATCGAATAACTCTACAATGACAAAAGAAAACCTTACTTACTACTTATGGCGGAAACAAAATTACTCAAAAAAAAAAACTGAATTGTGACTTATAACTTACTCAAGTGCTAAAGAATGAATGTTACAACGTATATCTAGGTATACACAAAAACACAACTGGATTGTCTTATATAAGTTCTAGTCTTGAAGTATTAGAGTATATAATAGTTACTTATATAGTATATACTTATATATATATTATATACTTATATACTATATAAGTATATCTTATATAAGTTCTAGTCTTCTTACTAGAACTTGAACGGTGCTGAATAAACTGGAGTTGACTTTATCCAATTATTGCAGTGATGTTTTTCTTGGTAAGCCCATCAGGCGCTGTTTGCATGATCTTTTAACAATGTTTAAGAACGCTGATTTTTCAGTCCTTTTTCACGGGCGGCTCTACAAGTAGGCGAAGTTAGGATAGGTATAGTCCCCTGAGACAAACATATAATGGGACGGGGGGGGTGCTTATAAAGGGGTGGTAGAGTGGGTGGTGTAGTAAAGCTCTCATGTTTCGGTGCCATTATTATAGCAATGGCAGAATGAAATTGGGTCATGGAAATATTCAGCTTCTTGATCTTCATACAAATCGTTTCATTGGGATTGCACTTTAGCATGTGGTGAAAAAAAGTATGTTTCAGAGTCATCATTTGAGAAACAGCTTTCTCACACAGGCCACAGATCAATTTCAAAGACATAAGGCACCCCATTGCTTTCCAAGTAGTTTGCATGTGCCACAGAACCATGAAGATGACATTTTGATAAAATTCAGAGATGCTATGTGCTTAGTTTTGCATGCCAAGTATCTGCAAAATCCAAGGAAACAGTAATTCATACCACTGAAGGTTTATTATCTGTCTACATCTTTACACGTTTGTGCGTTTATTTCATATTTTTGCATGATCCAAATTGTTCGGTTTTTTTTTCAAAGTAGGCATATTTCACGCATTTTACGGTTTGAACCTGGGGATAACATGTGATCGAGTGGTCTGAAAAAAGTGACCGACTTTTCGACAACCTGAGCGGAAGTCAACATCAGAGTCTTCACCAAAATTTCAGATATTGTACTCTCATTATCTTAGTAGCCCGTGGGTTGATGCATTTATATAAATAAATAAGTTTACTCCGCGGGATACTCACGAGCAACCAAGATTGTCCCTTCTTGTGTAACTGTAAAGAAAACGTTCGATCTCATTGCATTAAAATTTTGAACGCAAACTTTTATCTCATCGGACGTACTGCTTAAAAAAAATTAAGGAATATCACTTTGGAAATATGACCGAATAGAGAAAGATGTTTTTCGTCTTGTCACGAGCGTAGAACAAAGCAACAATTTCAAGTCTCAATGTGGAATCGAACCTCAGACCTACGGGTTCCTCGCTACGAAGTTCATAAGACACGTGCCTGCATATATATACTGCTATAGGATCAACAATGTCGATAGCGTCATGTTTGTAAATAGAATAAGAGAGATGGTAAGTTAAGAGCTCGGTAAAGAAATAGGGAAAGATGTTTTTTCGTCTTGTCACGAGCGTGGGACAAATTCCCAATCGATGAATCTTCATCCAACGATACACTTAAATAGTGTTATACGCGCGTAATATTAATAGTTGTCTTGGAGTGCATGTACGTCATTAACCCGCCCAAATATGGTATTGTGCAGCATTTTTGGGTATAAGAAGTCGGTCATGCAATCGATTGGCACAAAATATGCGTGCTGAAGTAATGCAAGGACCATCACAAACAGAAGTTAAGTTAACATATGAATTAATGAAGACTAATTTTAAGTGTAAAATGATTAACATGTCTTCGAAGCTGAGAGAGGATGATCTTCAAAAGCTTCGTTATTATTTAGAAGGAGTCATACCGATTAATAATTGTTCCGACTCTATGGATATATTACGATTACTAGAGCACGAAGCAAGGATTTCGTGGGATAATATTAATTTCGTTAAGAAAGCCATGGGAAGTATTACAAGACAAGATCTTGTTGAAGATTTAACTAAGTATGAAGTTAAGAGGAATTTGACACTCCTGTTGGATTTCTATGCGAAGAGCAATCTAGGATTGGATTCAAACTTTTGCGATAATAAATTAGGAATGAACATGGTAGCTTCGCGCTTACGGAAGATTATGGATAGTGCTCTCGAGAGTGTTAAAATCAGAAGCATATGCTCAACCGTTGAGTCCAGTAGAGATTTAAAGAAAGTATTAATGGCCTTAGAGGAGAAGATGGATGAAGAACCATCACTATCATGGGATGACTTTACTATGCTTGTAATTTTTGCTGGAGAAATTATAACAATCGCTTCCGCCGATGAAGAACAACAGGAGTCATTGTTAGACCTATGCACAACTGCTGCTGATGAGCTCTGCTCTCGAATGAATGCCAGAGGAAACTGGGTAAGATTGTAGTTTAGATTTTATACCTTGAGTATCAGAGTTCTGAAAAAATGTATCTTCGTTTCGTTTTTTGGTTTATTTTGTTTCGGCGCAGAAACAGTTCTGTGAAAATTTTTGCTGCGTAGAACACTCTAATTGATTATTCAGCCGTTGCCTGGAAGTGATTGGTCGAATTTTAACATGTGATCAAAGCTTTCGAATGTGATAGGAAGATCACTCTGCCGACTGAAAGTCATGCAGATTACATAGCCATTTTGATCAGAAAATATAAATAGGAATTACTTCGCTGAGTAACGCTGAACGTTATTTGGTTATCTCTTGTATTTCGATAATTGTTGAGGAAACCAAAGACGGAAGTCGTTTGACAGCCGTTCCGTCAAATTAATCACGAATAGACCCAAACCTCACTTCATACTCTCCTTTAGATGTTCTTATTGTTGATTTAATAGACACGTTCAAAGATATCAGAACAGAGTCGTACACCATGGCCTTGAAAAGGTCCCATTTCAAGTTGAATTACTTCCATTTTTCTTCCACTTCTGCATCATGAAGTTGTTTTGTTCATTTCAATGTCTTTATTGACTCTTCATGCATAAAGAACCATTATATATGAAACATACCATGATAGTCAAACAATTGAAAGTTATTTGAAGCGAAACAGGTCGGGCCATATGAACGGAAAACGGCTATGAAATATTTTTACTTAGAAATCGCTTTGAGGATTGGTGAAAAGAGAATGCAAACGGAAATCAGCATTGGCATTACGACGATTAATCTGGCAGAAGGGTTATCTAACAGGCTTATATCCAAGTGAAAAATATTTTTTTCTGACAGGAAGAGTCCACTTCACTTTTTTATAATCTGTGCATGGCCGACGCTGAAAGGTCTCAAAAATTTGACATATAGAGAACTTTAAGTGTACACTGATTACAGAAAGATGTTTTAACCAATTTCCATTTTCCAGCTGCCTGTTTAGTGTAGTTATTTTAGTGTTTCTTTCGTTGCATGGATTACCTTTCATTGCCCATTATGTTTACTCTGTTCCTATTTTTAGCCTTCGAACACATCCGGGTCTTCATGCTCAGTAATTCCATGATGAAAATAGGAATGGCTTTTTAGAGATGCTCGTTCAAAAATCTCAACCAGTTGTTTTTACTTCCACGGCCAGTTTTATGGCCTACAGGATGAAAAATATTTGCAAAATAAAAATATTTGTCGGGTTTTTTATTCACTTCGACATACTTCAGTGATAGATCTCATAAATTCATGGTAAGACCTATAAGTAATCTCATAGGCCTGACTGTCAAGAAACATAAAACAATTTTAAATCAGGCAAAAAGGACCAACCTTCCCTTCTCCAGATTTCGATGATCGGTCCGTGGAGTGAATCCAAACTCTGTTGTGAGAGACTGTGTGTTCCTGTACAAACAGACGTTCCTTTCATATCTTTCTAACATTATATTTTACTTTGTAGAATGACTTTAAAAATCATGTCAAGGAAGTGCACCGTTTCGTTCAAGAAAACATAGATTCCAATCATAACTTGTCTTCGCAAGAGATAGCAAAAGTGGTTCAACAGTTCAGAGAAGCCGTATTCCTTCCAGTAGGAAATCTATAGGAGACTCCAGAGGCTTTCTCGTTTAAATCGAAGACTGTTAATTATAAAATAAAGTTCTCTTGTTAATCACTTCTGAACTTTATTCACAATTTAAGATTAATCACAAAATACAATTAATAAAATTACTATACGAAATTTCATCAAAATTTCATCAAAATCATGCATAATACAAAAGCATTTAACTTAAAGACTGTTAATTGTTAATGATAATGTTAACGATAATAATAATTAAGAATTAATTAATCTGGCAGAACATCATTACTATTACTTTTATATTATTACTACTACAACATCATTACTATTACTGCTACAATATTACTACTACTATTACGAGTACTATTACACCATTATCACTCTTACCATTACAACTTTATTTCTATTACTATTACAACATTATCACCACTTCAATAATTACTGCTACTACAATACTATTACTGCTATTGCCACTTCAGTATCCTAACTGCTACACAACACTATCACTACTACCTACAATATAACTACCTCTGTCTAGACTACTAACAATATCATTGCTTCTGTTGCTACCACAACAGGGTTACTGCTATCATAACTACAATTACGAATACTTCTATGATACCTTACACGCTCTATTCAGTATGTTCAATCTAGGCAGCAATTTTAATCTACTAACTCATGAAATACACATGAAACAACTTGTTTTATTTTTAAGTGATGAGACATATATGAACTAAAATGGGGTGAGCTATCCCCGCTAACATCAACTGAAGTTTTCCACCCAGAACCAGTCTCACACATGTACGCAATGCCAACTTCTTTATTTGTTTTAAAATACAATTAGATGAAGTTTGGCAATTAACCGGATTGACAAATATAGCTGAAGGTTGTCATGAAAATGATACTATTGTTCAGCTCTTCAAAATAAAGAAAATGGATGTGACCAAAGTTGATTAGCATCTTGTCATTTGTTCTTCTTCTTGTCGTCTTTACAATTTCCTCAAATGTGACTGGTGCATCAGCTGCTTTATTTTTCACCAATCATTCTTTACATTTGTAATCAAACACTGTGGACGGACAATTGGCTGTAATTGGACACTTGTAATAGGACAGATGAAGCAGCCAGTCATACGAAGTCCACTCAGCTAAATCCAACAATCACAGAATTGATCAAAATAACCATAGCAATTGAAAAAAATGAAAATTTTTAGATGTTTGTCCTAAAAGAAGTAGTTGTTTTTCTGTCTTTTTTTGGATTTTGTAACGGTTAAGATTAATTGGTAACAGGACTTCGTGTCGTCCAATTCTGTCTGTAATCATACTTGCGATTGACAAATCGGATTCGTCTAATTTCGTCAATCACTCGTATGATTTCAGACCGAATTCGACTTCACTATGTCCTAATACTATTATTAAAAAGTGTATCGATCGATTGTAAGTTAAAGGGAGAGGGAATTGGGAGGAATCCAGTTTCAGTCCCCCCTCAGTCTCCCTCGTTTTCCCTTGCAGTTCTAGCCGCCCATAGTGCTCCCCTTCGGCTAATATTTCCATGACTACTGAAGGCAAGTTAGTTTCTCCTCAAAGTGGACCTACCTCTATACTTTCTCCTCGCGGAGAACAAACCGTACATCAAACAAAAATTTGCGTTTTGCTCAACACCCTTTAGCATCCAACAGTAATGACGAAGCTCCTGATAACTGATATTCTCTTTTTAAACCTTAACTGGAGATCGATTTTAAGAAACTAATGTTAAAAACGAATTTGAAGCGGTAAGGAGAGCCATCTCGCAGGCCAGACTGCTCTTGGTTCTGGTTTACGGTCAGTTCGCCACCACAACAAACTCGCCACCACTGAGAGTCAAATCGCCAAGGGTGGCGATTTGACTTAAACGTTGTATGTAGCCAATCGTATTAAACTTACATCAAATGAAAACTAAGATGTAGTAATGTATCCACTCAGGTTTCGCCAAACGCAAACTGAATCAAAATTAACGTGATATCAATATGACTTATTTATTTCATTTAACCGTTGTCGTGCCATAATTGAGCGGCTACACATAACTCCTGAGTCCCTTACCTTTTCCGCAATATACTACTACATCTACATTCATTTGATGTAAATTTAATACGACAGGCTACACATAATGTTTAAGTCAAATAGCCACCGGTGGCGATTTGACTCTCAATGGTGGCAAGTTTTGTGGTGGCGAATTGACCGGAGACCTTGGTTTTCACTTTTAATTCCAAATTTTAATATCTTTTTTCAATATTTCCCAACGTTAAACCGTACGCAAGCTGGCACAGTTTAAGTCCCATTGTTGAGTCCTTTAGCATTCCTGAATTCCTTGTAGGTGTTCAAGCAGTTGGAATAAATCAAATGAAAATGAGATATTTGTAACTGCTTAAAATCTAACAGTCCATATTGCGTGGCGTTTTTGTACAAGCACGTAGACGGAGAAAGCCGTGGTCTACACAAGAAAATTTTATTGATTATTCTTTGTTGTTCTCTTTACGCCCTTGCGAGCGTATTTTACATTTTCACATTTTTCAATGCATTTCATATTTTTATAAAATAGTGAGATATTTGTTCCTGTGAAAAATTTAATAGTTTGTAGTACGTTTCGTTATAATGTAAAAAGGTAATGTGGAAAGCACAAGGAAAAAATTTTTCCTAGAGAAATAGACGTAAACTTAGAATGTTGACTGCCTTTTGGTCTGGTTTCTCCCCGTCGATCTTTCCGGCTTGGTTGTACCTGCCAGAGGATCATATGCCTCTGCCGGCTGAGTTCTCAGGATCACTGAAACGCACGAGCCCCTCCACCACGGCAAGGTGGCAGTCCATAGGAGGAGATGTGAGGGGGGGGGGGGGGGGGGGTAGTTATTTTCTCTTTAGGGGTATTACGTCAATGCTGATTTACCATATGAAACATTTATATGTTCATCATTTCATATTTCCTTTATGAAATTCCTTCATTGTAAGTCGATACGATTTCCAAGCCGCTCGATGATTTCTTTTAAACATTCTCCATTGGACGATGATACGGACTCACTGATAGTGGTTTGTTGTTTTTCTTTGATGAATTCTTGAAATGCTTCCTGTTAATTAAACCAAAGGAAGATGAGTATTGTAAATCTAAGAAAGTATTGCCTGACATGATCTTTGTATTAAGTGCAGGGTATTATGGTATTATGGACGCAAATACAGAAAAACCTCTCCAAAAATAACCACATACAAGAAAAAAGACTCACTACACCTCTTGATTTGATTATCTCACACAGTCAACTTATAACATCGTCCAGAAATCTTAAGAATTTACTAGATACAACTGAAAGAGTCTTATGTATCAGAGTTATCATTTTTATATCTCACGGCTGTGTTTTAAAAATAGCGCAAATTTGAATAGTTTCGGCCACATTCAAGCGCATCGATATAACAACTGTCTGCCAATTTTTAAAAATACTACAATACGAGAGTAAAACATCTGAGACATACTTAGAATTGAGCAATGTTTCCGAAAAAAATAGTTTGGAAAACAAAGAGTTCATCAAAAGACCTATGAATAATTTTGAATATCTCATAAGTTTATGAATATCTAATTATCTGCGAGAGAACTTTTAAACCTCGAAACTGCCCCAAACATTTTCAGTTACTTGTGAAATGATCAGGGAGAGCACCGAAATTTGCATTGATTACATAGCACATGCAACATTTCTAAAAGTCTGTCCGTGCATGTTTTAAGAGCTGTTTATACATCTTTTGCCAAACCGGTAAAAAGTGAACGCTGAACCTGTTAAGCAACTTGAAGTAATAAAAAATTAAAGATTTTTGACGCCTCTTCCCGTGTTTCTTGTTTAAGAAGTTAGATACAATATTATGCTTCTGATTTCCGATTCTAATTTGACTGTTTGTAAAAGCCTGCGATACTGCTAACCACCGACTATGGTCGTTCAAATGGTTAAAAAAATTGAGAAGGATATTCAAAGGCAGCCCATTTACATTTAAGGAAGCGGCTTTTGACGTGGCAAGAAGAATAATTTTGTCAAGAAGATTCTATCAGCTCTCGCGTCTTTTCCAAAGATATTCTTCATTCCCGATCAGAACCCCGAAATAAATTCCCCTGTGTTGGCTAACAAATTTCCCAGTCCTATCTACTTCGCAATAAAACTTGCTCAAGTCAGAACACAGGGAAATTATTTTGGCTGTAAATTTCACATAGGTTGCGTATTTATCACTTACCAGACCTCCGTTTTTAAGCATCCATTCCGTAAGTAGTTCGCAGGTCTTGGTGTCTGAAAAGAGACTCCTGAAGTGACCATCCGCTACGACATCGGGTATCTGGTTACGTGGCCAACTAAACGAAGCGTAGAACTCACCAATGAACACCAAATAGGACGTGAACTTGGACCACGACAGCGACGAAGTCTTTAGAAGAGGGCTCTTGATGACCTGCAGAACAACACTGTCGTCTTCTACTTGCTCAAGTTGGCGGTTCAACACTGGAGAAATCAGTTCCTTATTTATTTCTTTAATCGCCAGCAAAAACTTTGAGACGCTTGCTTGGTCACGGGCAAGTTTCACAGGCGTGCCATGGCGGAGGTGTATCACCGACTTTATGTAACCTTCAAGTATACCACTTAGCGAGATTTGCAGCTCGACTTGTTTCAAAGATTGCAGCAAATCGTGACTGCCGACGGTTATGAGAAATTCTTCAAGTAGAGACAAGTTTGTGAGGGAAACTGCATTGAATTCCAGAAGAAACTCGATCAAACCCAGAAAATCTTCATCGTTCTCTGGGTTGATGTCTAGCTTCGAACCCGGAATTTGTCCTTTGCACCAAAATTTAAATTCTGCTCGATTGCCAGGAGTTAAATCTCTCGAGAAGTGAAGGAGAAACCTTCTGAAAACAATAGGGTAATTAGACTTCAACAGGCTATTTGGGGTTGAATACGTTTGTTTAGAGGGAAGCATCGACTTCAGTAACGCTGACGTAGACAATACACTTTGAAACAGGAGTGCGAAAATCCTCAGTTTTCAGCACATCCGGGTAATCCACGTTTTTTCCTGCTCCACGACCGTTCTCCTTCCCAGAGCCCTAATACTAGTACTCTTGGTAGCGGTCTGTGTAAACGATAAGCCCAATGGAAAGGCTGGGTATTGTTCAAGAGTAACCAAGTTCGAAATCAAGAGATTTTGACAATACTTCTGGATTTCTGTGCGAGGAAGATAACCCAAACTTTGTGTTGTTTTTCTCTGACAGTTAGTTAAATGGCTGAATTGTCGGTCAGAATTCCGCAGATCCCGCGCGGTAAATCGTAACAGCAAACCGATCAGTGCGACATTGGAATCAATATAATCCATTCGACCAGTGCTCGTCAGTTTCGACAAAGAATCGATTACAGGAATTGAACTTTCCGTGGGGTGAGTTTACCATTCTTTTTATCACTTGTTGAGATAAGATGCCAGCGTGAATGACGAACGATTGCACTTGAGATGGAGGCAAGATTTGCCCCCTGCAACCCACGCGCTACGTTGCCGAGTAACTATGCTCAGTAGTTTGGAAAGTATGAAGATTAGATTCTTATTTTCCAACAACTATTTTTTTTTGTTAACCTAGAGTAATATCAATACCAGGATGTTTCCACACACTTTTGCTAGCTTAGGTTGGATTATGTTATGTTATGTTCAGAGGCTCGTGGATGTTTAGCAAACGATGCTTAGTTTGACCGAGATGCGATTGGTTACAACGAAACACAAGACTCACCCGCCATTCGACCTTGACGGAGGATTCATAGTTCCTTCTTAGAACCCTTTGCACGTTGATAGGCAGGAAATAATGTTAATAAACGACAGCAAATCGTGCCAGGTGTTGTAAAAAATAGTCTGCCTATGCTACAACTTGTTCCATTACAGTTTCATCATATTCAGCTGAAGCCAGAAATGTCAATAAACAGATCACATACAGTAATAATAAATTGAAAAAAAAATTCCAGCTGTTTGTTTGTGCTTCCTTCCATGTTAACAGACAGTTTCAAGCTCCTATCCCATTCTACCCTTAAATAAAAGCCTCCTCAGTTGTAATAGGTCTGATGCTGCTGTCAGTTTGTGTCCCTGATTTTTTTCCTCCTAATTTTTTTAGCATTCACCAACAAACCCCACCTAAACTCTTAGAATTAATAGGCTGATATTGTGCGGAAGCTCTCTGTTGGAATAAGACATTCATATCAGACAACTGTAAGTTAGTTCGCGGATTGTGCACCTTAAGCGCCAGCCTAAAATTGTTTTCAAACTGGTCAATTACAATTCCTTTCAATATTCTTCATCCTTAGCTTTTGATATTGATTTCCTGATCTATTATAGCCCCTTTTATATTCTTTTATCTTACTAAGCAAATATCTAGTGGTCTCCTTCGCGTCAATGATAGTTATGCTCGTTGCAAAAATCGAAAAAAAATCGTTCGTTGGAGAAGGGGGAAAGGGGAGGGAGAGGAGGGAGAGGAGGGAGAGGAGGGAGAGGAGGGAGAGGAGGGAGAGGAGGGAGAGGAGTTCAACTACTTATTAAAACAAGCCGACATTTACACATGTACACAACAATTTAAGGTTTAGCAAGCTCCGGCATGAGTCTGCACAGCTTCTTTGACTCGATTGTACCATGGCTTCATTGTGGTGTGTGTCATCAGGTCTTTAAACGTATCAAGACCTTCCAAACCGCTCAGTACTCCATACACCGCCTGTGGAAAAGACATGAACAGTAGCCACTCAGATATTATGAGGAGAAGAGGCTGTGCACGGTCAAGGAGAATAGAAAGAGTAAAGGGAGCTATGTCTGTTGTGGAATCCTTGCAATAAACAACAGATTGGTTTTTACTCCTGGACAAGTAAAGGTTTCATGCTTAGACAAGGAATGACAGGTTTAGATATATGACTTGACTTCTTGTTTAGAATTTGCTTTAAGGTTCAAAAGAACTTTGAGAAATACCCAAGACATTTTAACTGAATAGTTCTCAGTATTATACGTAATCCAACAGATAAAATGACGCCTACTGGCCATCCACTATTTCTCATTTGCCATCTAATTTAAAATTAATTGGTTCATAAAACTTAGATTGGTGGGTGACAAGTACAGGGTGTCTGCTCCTCCTTTTAAACCAGGTATCAGTCTGCATATTCTCCATACTGTTCTCTATACTATCCCTAAGGTGCTGACAAGGAGAATTTGTTTGATGATCAAGAGCTTCTTTAGGCGGTGATCATTTCCTTTTTTTCTTGTGACCTTAATGTTTGATTCAGGGGTGATATTGTGGAGAGAAATTAGATACTAATCACACTTAAGGGTCAAAGAGTTTTAATGGGGCCTGCTCAATACAGGTTTAATTATGTGACATTAATTTGTTCTCTACTACCAAAAGGGCTATACTTCTCATAAAGTTTTCTTAGTTTTAGGTAGAAATTTGAAGAGAGTCTATTTCTTCTACAAACACTCAAATTTTTTTTTACCAGGTCGGCAAGATTTGGAGCACTTCCTCCCATAAACTTTCTTTTGCCAACAGCCTTCATCCATATCTCTGCCTCATCATACATGGCTTGTCGTACATCATCTTTGATATTGTGCCTGGGGAAGGAAACATTCCTTATTATTTTGAGGGTCAATAAAAAAATTCACATTTTTTTTTTTAGGAAACCTGAAGCACTGATATGTATATCATTTGGTGTAAATTGTTTGTTGAATAATCAAGAACTTCTTTAGTGGGTGATCAATTCTGCTATTATCAATATCTTAACATGTGATTGGGGGTGAATTAGATGCTGGTCACTCCTAGGGCCAAAGGGTTTTAAATTATATGACTTACTTTCTTTTCACATGTTTTCCAACAAAGTACATCACTACTGGCCCAGCAAAGTAGGTTGAATATTTCTCAAAAGTGCTGACATTACTTTGCTTTGTAAAATACTCAAATGCCTGCATGGCTTCTGATGCTGTGCGGTAGATGTTTGGTGACAGTGTATGAACAAATGAATTGTCCACCCATTTTCGCCATTTCCTCTGTTCTCTGTATAACATTTCAACAACTTACATCAGTACTCTCTGTTATCATCAAGTTTGCTCCTAGTCAGTTTCCTTAACCCTCAACATTTCCTTAACATCAGTATGCATATTCTCTATACTGTTCCCTATACATTTCCCTGGGTAATTAGAAGGAGAATTTGTCGATAAAGTCCTTTTTTAGTTTGTGATCATTTCCCCAATTCTTGTAACCTAAATGTATGATTCAGTAGTGATATTGTAAGAAGAACTTAGATTCTGATCACTCTTAAGGGAGAAAGGGTTATCTGCCTTGATGCACAGATAAGTTTTGCTTGGGGTCTTTATACCCTCTCTGTATTCTCACTTTCCATTTATAAGTTGGTATTACGTATTACTTGTTCCTTTATGAGTCAAATACAGTGCTTTGAAGTGTAAAATCTGTTGTTTCATCCTTGCCTCTCTACAATGTTAGTGAGGTGAGCCATCATTTTGAACCAAGACTAAGAAGGCATCTACATGGGGTGCAAGTTTTCTAGACCAATCCAAGTGAAGAGTGGCAAAATCAATGCAGATTACTTTTGACAATGAATTGGAAATTACTCTATAATGATTCAGGGAATAAAGGAGCATCTCTACAATCCTTACAGTCTTATTCCCAAATTACACTGTTATAACATCTTATTTCATAATTATTAATCTGCACCTACTTCTCGTATTCCATGGATTTCTTGTCAATGGCCTGTTCTTTGTACATGATAAAATATCTGTTGGCATATTCTGTCTGTTCTTTGCCATCTGCACCTTTTGTAGTGATTTCAGGGTAATAAACTAAGATCTGTTGGATGGAATCTTGGCCCACCATAAGGGACTGGAGGGCGCTGATAATGACTGATGAGTCATTGATCTGTAAAGAATGATTCATATCAAAGAGAGAGCCTATTGGGAGAGCTTCAAATTGACAAAACTAAAAGGAATTACTTCTCACCGCAAAATGAAAGAAAATGGCATTTTGATTTTTAAAGGCATCAGCATATTATGAACTGAGCTTCTCAACTTTACTCAGTAAAATCCGGCATGGATGAAGGGTAGGGGAGGTTCAGGGCTTTTTAAGAGCGTTTAGAAGAAGGATGCTGGGAAGCACCAAAGGTGCCAGCTTGTAAGGGAGGTAAGAACATGCACCCCAGAACGTTACATACTTACAATACAGGGCCATATAATTTAAACCTCGCTGAATCACAACGTCCGTTGTGTAGTTCATCGTTTCTCCACGACTGCTGAAGTTTTTCTTCCCGATAAATTTTACGAAACAAGGCCCCTTACCTGTGTGTCATCCGCCATAACTAACGGAACTTTCTTGTACTTGGAGAAACTGAGCTCTGACTTCCACAAGGGGCTCACTTCGACAGTGTTGTACTTGATTCCATAATAGTTCAGAAACGCTCGTACTTTACCGCAGAAAGGGCAGTTCTGATACTGGTACAGAGTTATCGAGATATCAGAGATCCCTTTCTCGGCAGGTAAATTAAGATCTTTGACGGGCCTTGCTTTCACGTTGTTGGAAATCATCTGGTAGGATACAAACCCAGCCAGGGTTACTCCACAACCCGCAGCCAAAACGGCAACAAATCGGCGACTTGTGCCAGAGAACCCTGGTCCATAGTTGATAGTACTAACAAGACGGCTTTGGACACTTCTATGTCCTCTGTTTAAGAACGATTTGCTAATTGGAGAGCAGAAGGTTGAGCGAATCGCACATCTAGCCGCCATTATTGAATTTGTTATGCAATAAATTAGTTACCAGGATATAGCGGCAAACCTTTACCTAGACTCCAGTCTTATCAATAGGTCTCCGCGAAGCCGGATGTACATCGAGCAAGCTACTCATCGAGCACGTTTAGACTGAGTATCGTAAGTAAAAACCAACAAAAGAACCTGGAGCGCAGGAAAACGTGAACAACTAAGTAATTACTTTCGAAAGTATTGAAACTTGCCCTATCAGTCCGAGTAAAAACATCGTTCTCAGATTCTCTCTAACTTGGAGAAAATTCTGACTGTTGAGGAGATTCAACCAAGCATACGATTGAAGTAATACCTCTTTAACTATCAAAAGCAAACCACCACTTTTCTACACTGGTATTTATATATTTCTTATCATGAGGATCTGAGAATTTCGTGTGAGCTCAAACAGTATGCCCTATTTGATGACATCCTTTCATCTTTCGGCTTAAAACGAAATGATATTGTAAGGAGAAAAGAATTGCCGATCATTCCTAGGCGTGAAAGTGCTAGGGGAGGCTGTTTTGTATATTCCTTCCATTGAACGTACAGTAACGAGCGAAAAGAGGAAAGGAAATTAAAATGTAGAGAACGAAAGAGAGAACCGGAAAAGCGCCATTTGTTATTTCAAAACTGACTTTATTTTTATTTCATATATTACAAAGTACACGCCGAAAGGTGCCCCATGCAACAACCATTTTAAGGAAACCTCGCCTTTTTAAATTTCTATTTACGACAGTAATCTAAATAAATAATACATATAACTACTTGGAAAATGAAATTTTATTTCCTAAACTACTCTAAGCAGAACTCAACATAGTGCATCAAAAAATCAGATTTAAATGATTTTTCTCGATATCTTTCAAAGATGTTCGAGGATCCAGTATCCAAAACAAAGGCCAAAAAATGACCTCGCCTGAATTAGGAGTTACCTCAATCTGATCATCATTGCTCCTTTAATACTAACATGAAAGTTACGAGCAAGTTTGAAAGAAAAAAAGGAAAAACATATCTGAAAAACGATGTGAATCCTCATTTACTTTTTAGTGATTATTGTATTATATAGGAACAAAAGTTATGTAAAAGCCCTCAAATTTAAGGAAGAATACCCTTCCAAACTGAGAAAGGCGGGAAATGAACTAAAAAATAAAATTAGTTTCGTCAGCACCTTCCCAATTTAAGGCTGTCGCGAGTGATTTGGACTGACATGCGGAAACACGAAGGTATATGCACGAGAGAGCCTGGGTTATATTTCGAACAAGAAGGCACGCAGGAAGGGGTCAGACTCCTCCTTCGAGCGTATCTCCTGCGTTCTATTCGGACAGCTGTAAGCCTGGCCGGCATAAAACAAATGCAAACAGAAATGTACAAAGCAACCCATTTTTAAGCCATGTTGGAAAACAAACCATTTCACTTTTCAAAGAGGAAAATGATCACTATGAAAAAACACAAAATAATCGAAACAGAGCGTAAAATGCATGTCGGTGAATATTAAATTAATCAGACGTATCAATTTTTTAGTCCGGGTCACTGTTACACTACTTACTTACATATAGCCTAAAGCAAGAGAAGAGAAAGTTTTCATTTTTATTAAATCAGAGGAATATCATATTGAAGCGTGTACTGGAGAACAATTTTGAGTTAAAATTTACTGTGACTGACACTGCACCCCTCCTCTTGGTGGGCCATAGTCTTCATCATCGTCATGAAAGCCCTGAAAAAGCAAATAAACCGTCATGCGGTTAGATTTACTAAAGGAAAAGGACTCCAACTGACATCTTGATGACAAACTTATCCCCCTTTCACACCAGAAAAACACCTTTGGTTTAATCTACACGAGGGGTAGTCCCTCCTTTTCGGCGAGGTTCGTGGTGCGAATCAGAAAAATAAAAGATGAAAAAAACAAAAATTAACGTTGGCACGCCACATGGACCTCTGGAGGTGAGGCGCACGTAAAGTACCTAATTTTTGTGCGCCTCTCTCCCAAACTTCCGCGCGGCGAGCTAACATCAGTTTTTTTTTTTTTGGTCAATTTTTTCGACACGTGAAAACCGGGGGGACTGCTCGTACTCTCGGTTAAACCAGGCTTGGCTAAATGAAAATCAGATAAAGAAAGCTGAAGAACTGAATTTTAAACAGGGTTCAAGTAATTACCCACATGTATTTTCCATTTTGCTAAACTTGAAGTCGAGAAATACGCAATTGTGGAGGAAATAATTTCACGCTCTGTTCCGCGAAACAGATTTAAAACGTGTTATAACCTTGCAGTAAATGGGGTAATCATATTTAGGTTAAAACGAGCGATTAAAGTGATCATATGTCGGTTTAATGAAACCATTCTCAAGAAAGCTTAAGAATAAAGGCTGTCTAAATACAAAAATTCAATAGCTATGAGAAATCTAGCGTTCAGATGCAGTGATGCAAAGATACAAATCCATACGCAGAGATGCGGCGTGAAATTCAGTGATCAGGAGGCTTGAGTGGAAACTCGACTCCCTTTTTTTACGCTTACCCCATGGTGCATACGACTTCTTGCTTGCTCCTGAGGATCGATTTTTACAAGGTCGACTTCTTCTGCATCCTCAGGAACAATACTTTCGTCTCTGGGAGGTAGCAGCTGCTCTAGTTTAGGGATTTCACCAGCAGAAAGAAATCCATCCGGAGGGAAGTTTATCTAAAACGAACACCCTAACATCAGTATTCATATCCTCCTTAATCTTCTTTACACGTTTCTTATGGTGGACAAGGCGAATTTCTTTAAAAATACAGAGCTTGTTCAACTGGCGATCATTTACTCAAGTGTCACACTGTCAACATAACATAACAAATGCTCTTGATCTTACCGAAAAAGTTATGATGAGAAATCCTCTCTCGTATGGGCTCTTGAATTTTGGCATTCCTTCATCTCGAACACATTTCACTTCGCCTGAAATGAAGACAACAGGTTGTCTACTTGTTGGAGCAGTTCACTTCTTTGCAGATAGTTGTTGCACTGAACGCGTGGCAACTCAGTGCAGAAGTCCAAAAGCTTAAGTTATTGAGAAGTGATTGGCAGATTTTGACTCACTAAGTTTTTTTGTTCAAGAAATACCACGGAGCAGTTATCAAGAGTGGGGAACCAAGAGAAAAATGTAAATTACGCACGAGAGTGGGAGCCTCGAGTGTCGCCCGCGCTTCGAGCTAACCTCGTGCTAGCTAACACAACCTTTCCCTTCTTTTGCTCCTTTTACTGATTTCTGTGAACGTTTCATTTTATTTTTTCGCTTATTTTGCGAGACAGCACTGTTTCTAATATTTTACCTAGAAATTTTGCGCGGGAAATTGGCGCGGGGCCGACCAAAATTGATGCCCACGCTCGAATTTCCCCACACCCCGGAAAAAAAAATTTCCCGCCCATAATTCTGGTTAAATGAATACTTGCCAGGTTTTATTATCTCTGTAGGATGAGACGTAACGAGCAGTTGCCTCTTATCCAACATTTCTATCGTTTTCTGAAAGCCACAGAGTGCCTCAACCAGCTCGATTTCCTGCAAAAGAATTGAACTCATTACATAGGTATAGAGACTCCAACGCACAATCTTCCTAATCTAATTTAGAGTGTGACAGAAGATTACCGATATGGGTTTCCAAGAAGTGCACACCACCACAATATAACGATTAACAATAGACAAAAAAAGAGTTTATGACTCCCTTTTAAACCTGCATAACTGTGCCTGTTCTGAGCTCAGTTCAAAAAAGACGGGGTAACGCTGTCTGGTAGGTAAGAGTTAACAAAACAAAATGCGCTATCCACCAGATAGCAATTCATCCAATGGATGGCGTTATCTACTCTTCGAACAGCGGGCCATGATCATTAACATACCATTTTCATATGCAGGTCCATGTCATCTCGCCGGAAAACTGGATGAGGCTTTTCATCAAGAATGATAATGATGTCACCTGGTTCAATACCAGGTTCCTGGTCTCCCTCTGAGGAAAATGTGATCTTTTGACCATCTTTCATTCCTTTGTCGATATGCACCTCCAGGATTTTACGTTCTTTGATTGTCTTTTTACCCTGACAGTTCTTGCAACGATCCTTTTCTACAGAAAGAACACATTGCAATGGTTATTACTAATTTGTTGAATGATTTACTGTGTGTAATAGTTCCATATCTCAGGGAAAAAAAAAAAACAACAACAACAACAACAGCACACAACAAAGCAAAATGACTCTACAACTCTACTGACATTCCTGAAGCATTCAAATAATATTACAATGCTTTAACATGATTGCAACATTCTATAAGTAACCTCAAATCTTGCATTTGGCCTACATTTTAATAAAAACATCTGCCAATTTGCTTTACTGTTTTAAGCTTAGCTTTCACAACAAAAGTAATTCTTACTCTTCAGTACGTAACCTTAAAACCTGCACATCAAAAAAGAAACAATCACCATTCCACCAATTTGCTTTACTGATTTCAGCTAAGCTTTAAGTTAAAAAAGATTTTCACACTTCTTTATGGAAACTTAAATCCTGCACTTGGCCTTCAACAACAAAAAATCTAATTGTTCTGCTGTTTTGTGCCTAGCCTTCAAGATAAAAATGATTCTTAATCTGAAGGGAAGCAACCAGCCTTAAATAATGCAGTGATTCAAAATACTCAATATTTCAGTGCCCTTCCCCACCCTTATAAGGTGGGTACACAAATAGATGAGTACACAAGTGCTGTTGAAAATACTTGACACAATGCTTAGAGGTAACTTGCTATGGTCTGGCATTCAATTCAGAGAGAGGATCAATACTTCTGGTCCTAGTTGTTTAACACTATCTGACCCAGTTTTTACAAGGGAGGACAACCCTATCCAGCAGGTAAATCGCTACCTGGTAGATAAGTCTTAAAAAAAATACGCTGCCCCATCCACTAAGTAGAGATTTACCCAGCGGTTAGCATTATCCCAACCTTTCAACAACTGGTGCTAGGCATGGTGGACATGGCACTGTGCATTTTCTGAACACTTATCCCCTGGATAGCCATTTATCCATTGGATAATAACATCACTTGTCCCTTAAAAACTGGTTCTTGGTCCCATCCAGCTTGAAAAACTACAGTTATCTCCAGCCACATGGGTCACCAAGCTTATGTGCAGCATTCAATTACCTGCTATTCTCTCTCCTGTTCCACCGCAGTCCCTACATTGTGTTTGAATTTGCTGAACCATCCCGAGTGCAATTTGATTGATCCTGATCCTGGTCCCACTGCCATGACAAGTATTACAACTTACAACTGAACCCTGCAAACAGCAAAATGTCCCTGGTTATGATTGTTGCTTATCTACACAACCCCCTTCAAATTGATCCAAATATCAACTGCTCTATGCTAAGGAATCATACCTTTGTGTGGTTTAATATGCGCTTACATGTATTATTATTATTTGGCTGTTTGATTTATGGAAATATTAGTACATTTGGTCATTTGATTTATGAAACTTGCTGCCATTTATCAATTATGAGCAGCCTCACCACTTTGAGGGAAAAAAAAACAACAACAATAATAACAACAAAAACTTAAACAAAATTTTTTATTAGGAAACCTTTTTAGTTGATGAATATAATATGGAATGTAGGACAATTCAGACTGCCTTTTAAATTATTAACACAGAATAAATTATCCTCTCTATTATGATTAAAATTATTATAATTTTAACATAATTGATAAAATTTCAAATCAGCGACCCAGTAAGCTCAATGGAACACTACTGCAACACTACTTCTAAATATTGTGGAAATGGTAAGTTTTCCAAAAAAATTCTACCAGCAATACACACCTTCTTTCCTCCTCTTCCCTCGCACTTGCTACAGATGACATTTTTTTGCAAAGCAAGTTGTCTTGTAGAACCATTGTACATGTCTTCCAAGGACACCTGGCAAAAAAAGAAAAAAATGCACATGTATACTGAATATAATGTACAAAGAGTGCTCATGAATTAAATACTATTAACAAAACATTGTTATTGTGAAATGTTAAAAAAAATGAAAAACCCCACCAAGCAGTTTGTGCTCAATGAATACAGGTCTGGGCCCAGTTTTTCAAAAGCTGATTAGCGCTAACCAAGGGTTAAATTTTAATCTGGGTTTCTATACTTCTTTGTTCGATAGCCTTCCTGGGATCATTTTCTCTTCTCTATATGGAGCATCCAATCATCAAATTGTTGACAAAAAGAATCATACTGAATTTTCCTTTAAAACTTCCAGAACTGAAATCCAATTTCACACTAACCCCAGTTTATCTAAACCCAGCTTTGAACAACCCAGCCCTGAACACTAATAGTGAATGCACGTTCTTCAGTTGAAGGCTTCTTTTAATCCTTTGATTCCCACAAGTGATTATCAAGTAGTTTCTGGCTATAATACCCTTCAATAATTCTGCAAACAGTTGATGAGGATGCTCTAACTTATTAGGTTAATGTTGTTAACTGGATCTAACACCAAATTCTTCTGATCAATTTAAAAGAAAATGTGTAGCAGCTAGAGTAGAGAATCAAGAATTAGATCTTAGGAGTTTGCAGGTTAGAACAAATAACCCACTATATACATTCTAGCACAACAAGAGTAGCGCAGTACAAGTTGAACACAACATCAGGAATACACATTAACTACAAGCTTTTCATGAACTTTCCCAGTTTTTTTTAATACATCTCATGACCTGTGATGGAGAAATTAATTTCAAAGTGTTTGTGCCACTGAAACATTCTTTACTTTGCAAGTTCTCCAAAGATGTGTCTTAAGTAGTTTCCCTTGCCCCACAAACAATCCCTGACCTTTCAGGCCTAAAAATGACATTTTATACTTTCAACAATGAAGAAATGTAAAATGGTTTCTGTGTTTACATAGCCTGATGTAAACACGCTGGAGGTTGGGAGAACACGAGATAAGTGTAGGAAACCATGACGCGAAGCGGAGAGGTTTCCAGCTTATCGAGAGTTTTTTTACATTTCTTTTATAAAATAACTAATGAAAGAGGAATGAAAACCGTGTTTACATACGTTCATGTAAAATGGTTTTATGGCCAATCAGAGCACTCGTACTTTGTGAATTATTTTATAATGCTACATGTAACATTTTCCATTTCTGGTGCCTAAATGATTTTTCCTTGCAATGCAACTCTATCCCAGCTGTATACTACCACCTTAACCCTTTAACTCCCAAGATCTGATTGTTAATTCTCCCCTATGGCTGCTACACATTTCCTCATAAATTAATTGCGAGAATTTGGTGTTGGATCAAGATGACAACTACTACCTGATAAATTTGAGTATTCTCATTACCTGTTTGCTGGATAATGTGTGAATATTACAGGGAGAAGTTACATGTTCATCACCTCTGGGAGTTAAATGGCTACAGACCTCAAACAGCGGTCTGTTTAGCCTGCAGGCAGGCTCTTGTGTTTGGGTTTCACCCCAGTTCAACACATGTTTCTTGAGTTCACCAATTTCTAAGTTTCACAGTAAATTTGTACCTTCTTTCAGAAACAAATTTTAAGGACTTTTCCAGGACTTAGATTGAATTTTCTAGGACTAAAAATTTCACCTCAATCCCTTTCATTCCCAAGATTTCAAAATCAGTTTTCCAAATGCTTTAGATACCATTGTTATAACTTCAATTCTGAAATCTTTAGAGTTCTTGAGTTAAGCAGATTCCCAGGACAATCCAGGATCTGAAATCACTTCCCAATGTCAATATCAAATTCCATGACTTTCCAGATTTTTCAGGACCCATACAAATCCTGCCAACAGCTAAACACATTTTGAAAACGTTTTTCAGGATGAAATTTCATGATTAAGTGAGCCACGTGTACCTTGAGCTGGTGTATCATATCCTTTCCTTTACGTTCTTGACGTGCTCTGGAATGTCCATGCCCTGTGCCAAAGAACATGTCAAAAATATCCATTGGGGAATGGAACCCACCGATGTCCGGACCACCATTAAGAGCTTCTTCTCCTCCTTCATCATAAATGCTTCTTTTCTTTTCATCGGACAATACTTCATAGGCATGGGAAATCTGCTTAAACTGTACAAAAAAATCAATAAAATAGTTCAATGAATTTGCATCCCGTACACAGATATCCTTGTTTCTTCAACCTGTTAAGATTGTAAACCATTAGAACAATCTGCCCGAGTCAGTTTCCAGGCACCCAATTTTAGTGGGTTTTAAGTACCTCCTATTGCTTTGAGGAGTTTATTTTAAGATTCCACCACAAACACCCCATTTTTGAGGCATTCTTTACATTTATACAATTCTTTTTTAAATTCCTTTAGAAACATTTTGAATAAAGCTCATGTGTGCATACATTTATATATACATGTAACCTGTGATAAGATAAATAATTTTTCAAAACCAAAACCAAACCACAAAGTTTGATGCAAACAGGAACTATCATGAATAGCAATGTCATAAGAACCTGAAATTTATTAAGTTCTGGGTTATATCAAGATTAACCCTTTCACTCCCAGATTTCCTTTGTAATTCTCCTTACTGTCTTTCATACAATTCTTCTAATGTTAGTTCTGAGAAAATGATATTGGATCAACTAATAATCAGCAAATTGATATATTTGTTTTAATTCTCATCACCTGTCTGCTTGACATTGTATTGATATTGTAGGGAGAAATTCTGTTTTGGTCACCCATAAGAGTTAAAAAGTTGACTCAGTAACAGTCCAAAGCTGCTCAGTTTTATTTACCCTATTGTGTAATTGAATAAGTCACAATGTCTTGCTTTTCTAGATACAAAAAAGTAATGCATCTTTATAAGATATATGCTAAATATTGTGAAATGAGCATGGAGGTTAGGCTGCAGAAATTCTTAATTATTTGAAAATAAACCTGATTGAAAAAGAACTATTCATACAATGACCATTCAACTGATTAACTTACAAACTAAATCATTCAATTAAACAAATAATAGGATTTATGAAAAAATTACTCAGTTCTGATTGGCTAAGATAAATGCAGTTTTCAGGTAATTCAATGAAGAAAAACATTAGTTCAGTGCAAAGAAGTAACAAACCAGGCTGAACAATTCCTTGAACTGTTTAGCCAGACTTTGAACAATTTTGTGCCTTAAAAATGCTAAAATATCATCATATATTATTGTTTTGATTGTACACAGTTGTTTTGACTGTATGCACAAGGTCACTTTGGCACCCTACGTGCCACACGGCATAATGGGCATGAGTGAGTGACAAGGTCACTCTCACAGTTTGAATAAACTATTTTTGCACTTGATGTGCGTGCTTTGCTTCTACAGGCTCTACAGGCTCATGCAATTTTGTTAGTCTTTCAAAAAATTTACTTGTGCTCATTTATTCCAAATTGGACTCAAAATCAAGTGATTACCTGTAAAAACAAGATGTCTGGCAATAGCAAATGTGAACAGTAAAAATATGTGTGGAGCAAGTTTACACATTTGCCTATGTCTAGGACTCAATTATTTTGAAAATGATGAGTGCACTGAGCCCAGTATAATTTACTTAAGAAGTGATCTTAAACATTTTGGAATGCTATTTCCTGCACCAGTGACAGAAGCTATGGGTCATTTGGGCTGTAATCAGAACATTAACCATGTACTCTTATATGCACGTTTAACAATTTCCATTTTGTTTCACATTAAGATTAACCATTACTATGACAAAAAAATTAAAACCTCTCAGGTGTTAAGAAAACATCTCTTGTATATGGAGATGAATTCACCTTTCACAAACATTGCCTTGTACATAACTACAGGAAAGGGGAATATTTTGCAGTTTTTGGGAAGCAAAATTGCTGCTCCTCAGTCACTACATGTTTAAGTTTACATTTAAATGCCCTCCTTCTATTTTTAATTATCTTTCATTTTATTTTATTTACTGTCTCTTGAGATCAATTAAAACATCACAAAATGGGTGGCAAGAATAAATTTAACCAACAGAATGTGGCAAGCTAAAGACTACCCAGAGTTTTCAGCTTCCCTTCTGTGATAGATAATATCTGCAGACAAGCATCTTTACAAATATCATTTTAAGTCAGACAATTAAGTTTCAAACATGAAACTGAAAATTTTTTGACTTATGCTGTAAATCTCTTGATGGTTTCGTTGTTAAAAATATTCTTTATAGTAAACACACAAGCAGGTATGATAAAGCTATCTCGGCAATTTCACTTTAAATACATTTCTAACAGTTTCCAAAAATATCCATACCTCTACCGTAAATATTTAATCAACGCTTAAATTAGAAGAATATGTAATGCGCAGTCAAAGATTCATTTCTGCAACGGCCAAATTTAATGCGAACTGCTTACACATGAAAAGACACATCTGTAAGTCGTAGCTAACCGCACTACAATTGAATAATCAAGACGTTCCTTTTAAACTAAAGAGGATTAGAAAGATTTAACTCTGATTACAGCGTAGTTTTTCGATAATAAATCGAATGAGCGTACACACTTCATACAATTAAGATCCACTGGTAGCTACGAGTTAGATCTGTATTGATCGTACTGTGTAGATGCAAACAAAGTCCTTATGTATTTTAATCAATCAACAAAATCTTTATTTACAATTAAGGAACACTGGACTAGAATCATTTTTGTGCTATCATAAAATAGCAAAAATACTGAATACGGTACACATTTCTCGATTAAAAAAAAAGGTGCATTGTGAAGAAGTAAAGCCCAAAAGTAAACCTCGAAAAACTGATTGCACAAGGCTAAATGTTACTTACTTTGTCGCCGGCATCTGGATTTTTATCCGGATGATACTTCAAGGCGAGTTTACGATAAGCTTTCTTAATTTCACTAGGGGTAGCAGACGGATCTACGCCAAGAGTTTCTGAAAGAAGAATTAGGGATCAAATTCTACATTCCTGTTACAATTGCCTCTCACAAGATCCGTTGTCATGCGTCCATGCGGACCGGAGCACACCCGGCGAATAATTATCTTGACGATCTCCTCATTAAAGACGAAAATTTTAAAGGAAAACAACACTAAGCTAACTAACTAAGAGTTAATTCAAAAGTTTACCGTAAAGTGTCGTCTCCTTGACCATAACTAAGGCCGAAATTGGATTTCTCTCAAAGAGACTCTAGTTCCTCGTGAAAATAATCAGTTTCTCTTCGTATTCCGCTGACGTATGTGTGATGGGCATTTCGTAATACTAGATCCAGTACTAAACATCCATATCTATCGCATTGGAATCTTGGCCCCAGTTTTGGTCCCAATCCGAGAGCACGATTAGAGACTGCACAGAAAAAGACCCACGCACAAACACTCATACAAATAAAATAAAAAAAAAAAGAGAGAGAGAGACAAAAAGAGAAAAAAAGAGAGAAAGAAAAGTAAGTCGCTTTACAAAATAGATCAATCATCGATCAATTTGGGACTTTTCTGACACAGAGATTCACGTCTGTTTTAGTCCTTTAACTCAGATCTGATCGATCAGAACAAAAATACCCTGCTCATGCACAACATATTCTTCTCAAATGCTCAGAGGAAAACGGGGGATCTGGATACAAATTAACTGAAGCTGAAGCAAAGAATGTGTTTTAGGTTAAAATTGAACCGGACTCATCGTCTTTTTATGTTTCTTTTCCTGCAGGATGAGGCCTTAAGGGATGAGGGCCGGCGATAAGTCTTGAAGCGCCAACAAGGAGGTGTGGCCTCGCAGGCCACCGGTTTCCTGAATCATAGTATGGATGTGTTGTAATCATGAAGATCGCATTGGAGTTGAACTTGCGTATAAGACAGGAGCTCTACACTATCTCTATAGGCAATTTGCAATAGCTCAGTGTCAATGAAATTGTTCCGTTTGCCGACTTCAAGAAATATTATTTCCCGTCGAGGTTGGAGACAAATCTTCGTCATTAGAGGTGTTATTACAAAAAAATTGGTTTAGATACGATATTTGACTGTTAAAAAACTCGAAACGTCTTAAACACAAAACAAAACCGGGTGGAAACTCGAGAAAACAAAAATTGCAAAACTCAATTCAACTTCGAAAACAAGTATCCCAGATTGTGTCAAGTTCAGTCTCTGAATATGATTGGCTAAATAATCAGATCACGAGCGTGGCGCGTGAACACAAAAAAGATTCAATGGGGGAGGAGAAGAATAAAACACGAAAAAAGATTCAATGGGGGGAAGAAGAAAATTGTTGTCCGAAATCAAGAGATGATCTATCCTCCCTTGATTTCGAACAATACATTCAAGAAAGTGCTGAAATTCTATTGCAAACTACCACGCTCTATTAAGAGTACTATACCATATCAGTGGAGATAGGCGGAATTTGTTTAATTATAAGATAAAAAATGTTAAATCCACTTTATAAGTTTGATAATGCTGGGTGAAGATCTAAGGAAAACACTGAAAAACTTTCAATTTTCGCTTACTGAACCCTTTAACTCCCAAGATCTGACTGTTAAATCTCCCCACCAGCTGCTACAAATTTCCTTGTAAATTGGTTACGAGAATTTGGTGTTTAATCAAGATAATATCTTGTACCTGATAAGTTAGGTTAATCTCACTACCTCATAGATGGATAATGTATAAATACTATAGGGAGAAGTTACGTGTTAATCACTTCTGGAAGTTAAAGGGTTAACGGGTCTGGATATTTGGAGGCAAGCCGACTTTTCCAAATTACCCGGGTTTTGCCTCGTTACCAAAGTGAATTGTAGTTGATTTCTCTTTTTTTCAAATGAAAGTGCAATTTCATCCGAGAAAGATGTGTACTCGTCATACCACTAGCGCAGGACAAAGAAAAACCTGGGAGTCCCCTTCAGGAATCAAGCGTCAGACCTTCGTTCTGATCGGCCAGTAAAGATTTGATTTCTGTCCGACGCTTAATTAAAAGAGTGTCAAAGATATCAAAATCATCATCTATATGTTGACTGTTACTTTTACAATTGAAAGAGAAAATAATTCAAAGTCAAAATACTGGGAAATTTTCCGTGATCAAGACTTGATATAAAACATCTCGTAAGCACTGACGTTCAGTTAGTCATCAAATGCACCAGTATTTCTCGCTTTCCTGTGAAGCCGATTCGTCCGTGTTGAACAGTCAGATTATCCAACACTAACAAATCACCCTTCCTCCACCGAAATCCAACTGCGCATGACCATGACACAGCTCTCAAGTGTTGGATCACTTCAGGCTCGATGGTGCTACCGTCTCCATAATAGACCGTACATGGATATTTGTGGGGCGGGAGCTCGATGCTCTTGAACATTGGCAATGAGTCATGATAGGTATGATGGTGGATTGTCACTTGATTAAACCAGATATCTTCTCCCGTTTTCGGATGACGAAGGAAGGCAGGCTTCACGTTGGACCAGTTCATATCACCGTTGTCGTCCCATACAACCGTGTCATAAAGTTGCTTGGCTTTCTTTTCCGCCTCCCTAATAGATAAAAAGAATGAAAATGAGCCGTACTTTGTATTTGTGATTTCTAACTAAGACTAAGAAAAAAAACCAAAAGATATTTTAAAAAATCACCAGTTTGTACAATTGAGAATAAATTCAGAGCGTCAGTTACATTAGTACCCAGATCCTCGAACTTTTAGCAGTGGGATATTGAGTTAAAGACAATTTTACACACTTTGACCCCCGCACTTTAGTTATCTCGAACGTTTTTTTCTATGCCTTGGAAGTTTGAGCTTCCACGTTTCCACAAAAATTTATGATTTTGTCTTTCTGCTCTTGCAATTTTAGATAACACTCTCGGTCTTAAAAATTTATTCCCGCTGTGAATGACAAATACGCAATCAAAGATAACGAACGGGTACGGTTGTCAGTATCGTTTTCATGCCAATACCTCTTTATTATCAGTGTAATACTGCTGCTGCCAGCTCGCGTATTCTGCGTGAGATTTGTCGGGCCAATAACCTGCGTACTTCACTCCTTTACTTTGAAACTTCCTCACGACTTCAGGATCCAGTTTGAGAAGAATTTCGCTGCTCTTGGCCAGCGGTGTCTCACCACCACAACCGTCTGCGGGCTCTTGCAAGCAAAAAAAGAACACCTGGAAGGAAAGAGACTCCTAATGTAAAAGACTAATAACAAAGATAAATACATAAATAAATGGAGAAATAAATAAATAACCTAATCAATAATAAAAACATTCCTATTCGAATGTATTTTTAGAAAATCTCTTTCGTTTTTAAATTTCAAGTAATATTTTTTTCTCTTCCTTTCCTCATTTTGTAATCTTTTTCTAATCACGCGCGGCATGCGTGTTTTCACAAATTAGCCAATCACATCAAAGAACTCTAACCTTGAGATTGGAAAACTGACTTGGACGCTTTTCGCGTATTTTTGTATGTTTGTTTTTTACCGAGTTTTGTTAGTTGTTTCGTTCGAGCAAATTTGTTACCCCTTTTTTTGGAATCTTAAGACATTTCGGAGTTTTTATTTTAGCCAAATGTTGTGGTTCATTTAACACGTTTGTTACATATTTTCTACGGAGTTTGGACTCCGGCCTCGCTTTTCGTAAATGGATTTTTTACACTATTGTGCCAATAGCTGCTCAAGAGCAAGACATCCAAAACTGTCAACAAAATGACTCCTGTAACTATGGTAATATTGTTCAACTTGTCAAACGATAAAATTAACCATATCTTATCTAGAAGCATTACATAAGAGCTTCCTTATCTTGGTGTTGGGAAAATGAATGGAAATAGTATATTAGCATAGCCATTCAGTTAAGAAATATTGCAAGTCAGTTGATAATTTCTTATTTTGCTTAGCGGGCAACTTTGTAAGTAGAGTGATTTTCATCCTTTCTTTCGGAGAGAAAAAAGTCCATTTAACTCCACAAATGTTTATCATATTAAGCCGTTATTGATTTTAGCCAAATTCTATATTCTCCTATCGCGAATTTGACATGAAAGCAGATGTTTAGTTTTGACAGTAATTGAGACTTGCGGTGAAATATATTTCAATCCGCTTGACGAAGAAGAAAGTAATTTGATCTGGTAAAAGTTAGTCTCAAACCGGAATTTCCTGGAAAATTCCTCCTACTCATATTTTAGATTATTTTCAGGCTCGTTTTGGGTTAATATAATGTCAAAATCCCAATCAGAAAATAATTCTTAATTTTCAATTTACCACGTTCAACACCTCTTTCTGTAAGGTGACTAAGGTGGTCAACAACGTGCACTTTTCATCTCCCCCCCTGAATTTTGAATCAGTTAACTTACAGAAAGAGAGGGCTGAGAGAGGTTTAAAGTACCTTTGATGGAAAGGAACTACTATATGCCATTTCATGATGCAATTCGATCGTTACAGCTTGATCTTCAGTTGTAGCTTGGTAGATCTCAGAGTTTTCTATAGCACGCGGCCTAGGAACGTTACCACCCGCATAACTCAGAGGTTTCCCCTTGATAGCTTGGGTTATAGTCAAGAAATCTTCTGCCGTTTTTGCAGGTAATCCGCGAAACACGATCGCAGGGCTTAGAGAGTTGTTTTCCTGCACGTATTCCATACATTTTGCACTCAACTCTCCCAGAGAGAACTGATTCCCGTTAATGATTCGCAATCCTAGGGGGAAAGAGTCACCTGGTACTCCTAAGAACTCTGGGAAACCTCCATCCACAGAGCCAGAGAGGAACTCCCTGTCTCGAAGCCCCGACCTGATATTCGGCACCAGCTCCTCTCTAGGTATTCGTTCAAAAATGCTGTCTTTGGTCGAAGACGTTTGGGATGACGAGAAACATACTGACATTTTTCTGACTGAACGCCAAAGGGGATTAGACAGTCTCCAAACCGAGGAAAAGACAAGGGTCGACATGTCCTACGTCATCAAAATACAATAATTTCTTGTTTGGTTTTGTAGCTTTTCACCCTTGCGTGACCATTTACCGTCACAGACGTGATTACCAGAGCGGCCCTGTTAGAGGAAAACAATACAGATAACGAATGTGAAAGGGATAGTTACAGAAATGAACAGTACTTAAGCAGTAGTGAAAATAAGGCCTGAAAAAAAAGATTCAGTCGTGTACAGGATTTGAACCCATGACCTATACGATACCGGTGCAGTACTCTACCAACGGTAACAAGTCTTATCAATAAAGGGCAAAATTACTGAGCTCTGATTGGTTGAGAGAGAGGGCATTTTTTCTTAATCGAGGGCATTTTTAGTAATCAAGAGAGGGCATGATTACCTGTTAATGATTGGCTAATCCGTTGCATAGCAATCGTTCGTTATCTTGAAATTTTGATTTTCCTTCGTATAAATTTTGCCCTTTATTGATAAATAAGTAATCCCATGAGACCTCGTACTAATAAGGATTAATTGCACTTGAGTTTTCAAAATTTTGGAAAATTTTGAAAACTCTCGTGCAATTAATCCTTAATAGTACTTGGCCTCATGTGATTACATATACAAATCGCCCGAGAGTCATCTCACCCGATGTCAAGTCGCCCGGCACCTGTGTCATGTTGCCCGAAATAAAGAGTCTAGTCGTCCGAAGAAACAAATACTTTAAAGATTAGAATCACAGATTGTATATAGGCAATAAAGTTGAGAAGTCTTAATCACTATAGCGATGTTTGTTTCTGATAACACCATGAAAGTGGTGATCAGAATAGTACTAATGACGGCTCTAAAACCGATGTTTTCTTAAATAAAAAAAAAAAAGTGAAGCGTTTTCTTTTCCATAAAAACAAAATACCGCGTTGCACTGTAGCTTTAATTTCAATATGGCGGTGAAAGTAGAAGAATTCGGCAGATTTTGACTGAACATTTCGTAAAAGTTAGGCTGTTCCTTTTTCCTTGTACCATAGGTAAATGTAATTTGATTTATTCTAAATGTGTAAAAGTATTTTCTGTTCATATTTGTCGCGTATTCTATGGTTCTCAAGGACAAACGCGCTCACTGTTTATTTGTATGTAATTTGAGACCAGATTTCAAGAAGATCAAAATTTGATGTACGTCGTAGTTTGGAGCCTTTCAAAGATTTGGATGGCTGCTTTGATCCTTCTTTAACAGCTCTGACCAAACGCTCTCCAACGGTACATGTGTTTCTCGCATTTTAAGTGCGGGTGTTTGAAACCGATTATGGCCGAGAAAAGGCTTATTGTTGCGTTACACAGCGTTACTATTATATACTCAATTGTGTTGTAAATCTACTTTCCTAAGTAAAAGGAAATTAACTTATCGCGAGTGTTGTATGGTAAATCTACTATCTTGATCATTGAATGAAGGACAGTTGAATCTGAGCCATGAACGGAATCACTTGACCAATGTATAACTCTTCAATGCGCGCGGCGACACGCTTGGTAAGCCGGAAAGCAAAAGGTAGTCGATCGTTGAAAGGTGTTGATTGCTTGAGCGACTCCTGCCATTCGCTTGCGCTTTTAAATCTTCTAATCTGAAAACTTAGCTGTTATTAGGATATCCTTTAATGACTTCCGTTTACGATGTGATATTAAGGGTTAGTTTTAAGGTGTCATTTCCCCATCTGTATGTCATTGGGGTTTAGCAAAGCTGGATGAGATTGTGTTACAACTGAACAACTTTCTAAAATGGGCTCTTTTCATCAAAGTAAGCGGTCAGATAACAAGTGATACACGGTGGAAGTAAGGTGAGGTATTTTTATTGAGAATTTGACGTATTTTTGCGGGCGACCAGCGGAGCCCGCAATCCTAATCTCAACATTGGTTACAAACGCATGCGCGGCAGTTAGATAGCCTTGCAGTGACTCGAATTTAGCAAAAAAAGTCGTCCTTCCAAATATTTGTCCCTAGGGACACTAAGAACCAATGAATGAAAGGACGTAATTTGAGCATAGGCGCTTTGACCACGCGAGACAAACACGAAGCAACAGTAATTTGAGCACAGGCGCTCTGACCGCTAGAAACCAACACCAAGCAGAAGACAATTCTCACCAAAGCATAGCTGTTTCACGTTCCATAGTCAATGATCTTTAATGTAGTTGAAGGGCTCAAATAATATGTAATTTCGCCTTCTTGAAGCTTAGAATGTCAAGAATCACGTGCAGTTCATGCAGAAGTGGCGGTCCATAAATTGGAATGCACACAACACAATTTTATCACGTGGACGACGTCTATTTCGTCGAAGAATCACGTGCAGCTCATGCATAGCTGGCGCGCCGTCCTCAAGTGGAATAGATCCTAGGTTGCCAAATCTATATATGTCCATTTTATAATCAACAGTGTTTTTATTTACAACGTGAAAAAAACAACCATTTTGTCAAACCCAACACAAAATAGAACTGGTGCATAATCAAACTGGTGTTACTGTTTCACAAGGTCAGTAAAACCACTCTTAGGTCCCTTTGTCTCGTTTATGGGAAAACAATCACCCACACTATGCAACCCTTTATTGCGCTGCAAATATAAATGCCCAAAATGGAAAAAGAACACAACGCCACTGTTTTACAATGAAATCGTTAACCTCAGTGAAACAAATCATGCATAGCCCTCGCACGCACTTCCTAACCTGTGGTTATTACTAGTTTATTCCTTAGAGCGGTCGTAAATATTCCCATACAAACTGTCAAGAACTGTCAAAGAATCTATTGATGTCCATTTTCGTTCAAAACCGCGTGTTGTAATTTTCTTGTTAGTTACAGTTTAGTCGTTGTGTATTTAGGGTCTTTCCTTAAAGTGGAGTCGTTTCGCGTTTGAGGAAACACAATACAAACGTTTAAATACTCACAGAGCGTTGCGTTGTTCAGTTTCGATGGATGGTCAGACCGACCGACCGACCGACCGACGGTTCGCACAATTAAGAATTGTAGGCTGGATTTTATGATCGTAGGGTTTGAAGTGATCACGCATAAGCTCGAAATACAAATTTACTTCCTGGGTGCGCTGGCCTGTAATGTTATTCTAAACTAATGCTGCATCAAAGCATAATTACAAACTAATGATAAATATAAAACCAACCTGAAAACAATCCCGCAACGGACCTTCTCTACCGTGCCTTTTAAAATGCAAATTTTGTAAATTCATACGGCCGCGTAATACACGCATCGACTACCTTTCGCCAACAGTAATAACTGTCTGAGGAATGAGACAGACGGTCAGCATTAGATTCCATCCACCAAAACCACCTTGGTCGAGAGGGACTGAGATGGAATGATGGACAACTCATGACTTGTTATACTAAATGAAAATTACGAAGCTACGACAACATGCCGACTTATCCCGATGACCTAAGTGTATCATTTGTTTGGGAAATTGCGTCAAAACTTTTTACTCAAGAAATGGTAAGTATTAATTTATTGTTCGATTGTAGTATTATAAAACATTTTACGCAATTTTATGCAGATATTTCACGTATTTAAAAGGTGCCCAGATGTTACGTAGTTTTGGTGGATGTCATTAGGGAACATCCACCAAAACTTTGACCAAAACCATCAACAATATATTTTTTTAATTTGATCTATGGCCACTGTTAGATGTTCAGGGAGACAAAAGATTTATACCACTAATTAGCAGTTA